CTGCATCTATTGCAATGATCATATGGTTTTTATACTTTCTTTTACAGATGTGATATATCAAATTGATTTGCAAATACTGAACCACCCCTGTATCCCAGGAATAAGTCCAACTTGATCGTGGTGAATGACTTTTTTAATGCATTGTTGAATTCACCTTGCTAATATTTTGTTGAGGATGTTTGCATCTATATATACCAGGGATATTCGCCTATAGTTCTCTTTTTCTGTACTATCTTTACCTGGTTTTGATATCAGGGTAATGCTGGCCTCACAGAATGAATATGAAAGCTTTCCTGTTTGTTGTTTAGAATAGTTTAAGAAGAATAGGTATTAATTATTCCTTAGATGTTTAGTATATTTCACCTGTGAGGCTGTCTGGTCCTGGACTTCTTTTTGTTTGTTTTTGATTACTGATTCAATTTCATTGCTAACAATTGGTCTGTTCAAATTTTCTATTTCTTCCTGATTCAGTTTTGGGAGCCTATATTTCTAGGAATATATTCATTTTTCTAGGTTGCCCAATTTGTTGGCATACAATTTTTCACAATGTTCTCTTATAATCCTTTATATTTCTATGCTGTCAGTGGTTATTTCTGCTTTTATTTCCAATTGAGTCCTTTTTTACGTTTTATGAGTCTGGTTAAAGGTTTATCAATTTTGTTGATCTTTTCAAGGAACCAGCTCCTGGCTTCATTGATCTATTCTATTGGTGGTTTTTTTTTGTTTTGTTTTTTAGTTTCTATTCATTTATTTCTGCTCTAATCTTTCTTTCTTCCTTTCTTTCTACTACTTTTGGGTTTTGTTTGTTCTTTTTTAGTTCTTTTCGGTATAAGGGTAGGTTGTTTATCTGACATGTTTCTTGCTTCTTGAAGTAGGCCTATATTGCTCTAAACTGTCTTCTCAGAACAATTTTGCTGCATCCTAGAGATTTTGGACTGTTTGGTTTTTCATTTTCATTTATCTCCATGTAATTTTTTAAATCAATCTCTTTGATTTCTTGGTTGACCCATTCATCATCTAGTACCAGGTTATTTAACCTCCATGTATTTGTGTTCTTTCCAGATTTTTTCTTGTTGATTACTAGTTTCATATTATTGTGGTCAGAAAAGATACATAGTAGGACTTCAATCTTTGTGAATTTGTTGAGACTTATTTTGTGGTCTAATATGTGATCTATTCTGCAGAATGTTCCATGTGCACTTGAAAGGAATATGTATTCTGCTGTTTTAGGGATAGAATATTCTGAATATATCTTTTACATCCATCTGGTCCAATGTGTCATTCAAAGTCACTGTTTTCTCGTTGATTTTCTGTGTGTATGATCTATCCATTAATGTAATGGGGTATTAAAGTCCCTTGCTATTATTGTATTACTATTGATTATGTTTGTTACTAGGTGCTTTGTATATTGGGGGTGCTCCCATGTTGGGTGCATAAATATTTGCAATTGTTACATCTTCTTGTTGGATTGTTCCCTTTATGATTATATAGTCTTCTTGTCTCTTAAGTCTTTTTAAAAAATTTTTTTAAAAGTTTTTTTAGCAATCTCTACACCCAACATGGGGTTTGAACTCATGACCTGAGATTAGGAGTTGCATGCTTCTCCAACTAAGTCAGCCAGATGCCCCTAACAGTCTGTTTTAAAATTTTTTTTGTCCTATATAAGTATTGCTACCCTCGCTTTCTTTTCACTTCGATTTGCATGGTAAATGCTGTTCTATCCTTCCACTTTCAATCTGCAAGTGTCTTTAAGTTGGAAATGAGTCTATTGTAGGGAGCATACACATGGGACTTGTTTGTTGTTGTTGTTTTAATCATTCCAACACTCCATGTTTTTTGATTGGAGCATTTAGTACACTTGCATTCTAAGTAAATACTGATAGGTAATGTATTTACTGTCATCTTGTTAATTGTTTCATGGTAGCTTTGATAGTTCTTTTCTGTTCCTTTCTTCTCTTGCTCTCCTCTCATGGTTTGCTAGCTTTTTTTTAGTGATATACTTATATTTCTTTTTCTTTACTTTTTGTATATCTGTTACCAGTTTGTAATTTGTGGTTACTATTAGGTTTATATATAACATCTTATGCACTCAGCAGTCTATATTAAGTTGGTGGTCACTGAAATTTGACCTCATTCTTTACTCCTCACCACTCCCCATGTTTTAGGCATATGGTATTACATTTTATATCTTTTGTTAGTCCCCTGGCTGATTTTTATAGGTACACTTATTTTTACTGCTTTAATGCTTCTTATTTTTCTTACTACTCCTACTTATGGTTGATCTTTCCTTTCCACTCAGAGTCCCCTTTAACATTTCTTGTAGGGCTAGCGTAGTGGTGATAAATTCCTTTAATTAGGGAATTTTTTATCTCTCCTTCTGATTCATAGCCCTGCTGGATACAGTATTCTTTTTTTTTTTTTTTAAAGATTTTATTTATTTATTTGACAGAAAGAGATCACAAGTAAGCGGAGAGGCAGGCAGAGAGAGAGGAAGGGAAGCAGCCTCCCTGCTGAACAGAGAGAGAGCCTGGAGTGGGGCTCGACCCCAGGACCCTGGGATCATGACCTGAGCCGAAGGCAGAGGCTCCAACCCACTGAGCCACCCAGGCACCCCTACAAATATTATTTACTCTTTGCATTTCTCTTCACTCTTTTCTACATTTCTGTTTCCATCCAAGATAATGCCCCTTCTGCCTGGAGTACTTCCTTTAGTATGGCTTTTAGTGCAGGTCAGCTGGTGACAAATTTTGCATCTCTGTTTGGAAATGTCTTCACATCATTTTCACTTTTGAAGGCTATTGTTACTGGGTACAGAATTCTGAGCTTTATTTTCTTAAAACACTTAAAATATACCAGGCCACTATCTTTTGGCTTCCATCACTTCTGTCAAGAAGTCAGTTGTCAGTCTTTGTCACTGCTCCTTTAGCACTGTTTCTTCCCCCCTTTGACTATTTTTAAGAAGTTTCTTTTTCTTTCATTTGGAGCATTGTTTATCTGGTGTGGCTTTCTTTGTATACAGCCCATTTTAGGTTAAAAATGGTTCATGAACCTATGACTTGATGTGTTGGTCCTTATCTCTTAAAATGCTGCTTTTCCCTCATTGTCCTTCCTTTCTTCTTAAACTTCTATTACACACATTTAAGAACCTTTCATCCTTTCCTGTATGTCATGTTTATTTCTGTATTTCCCCATTTTTTTTTTTTTTTTTTTTTTGCTCTCTGTGTTGGATATTTCTACTAACTTATCTTTCAGTTTACCAATCTTCTCTTCTCCTATGACCAATATGCTGTTAAGCCCATTTTTTGAACTTATAATTCCAACTGCATTTTTTATTTCTAGAATCTCCATTTGCCTCAGTTTTAAATGTGTATTTTCCATTTTTTGATAAAAAAGACATTTTCTTTTTATCTATTATTTCAACATATTAGTTAAAAATATTTTAAGTACATGACTGATAATTCAGCAACTGGGTCATCTATGAGTCTATTGATATTGTCTATTTGTTCTTTTCTCAGTCTCATTTCTTAATATATGAAATTATATATAAACAAATTATAAAACTTTGGATGATGTTTTCTCTCTTAGGAGAGGATTCACCCGATCCTCTCTTAGTAGCCAAATTAAGGAATGAATTGTTTTACTCTAATCATGGACTGCCTCAAAGCTAGTTTTCAGGTTTTATAAAGTCCTGCCTATCAATGATTCACTCCCTTTCCTAGAGTATAGATCTTAAGAGGTCTCATTGAGAGTGCAGGGTATTCATTAGGGTCCCTGTTTAAAGGTGGATCATTACAACTCCAATTTTTCTTTCCTTGGTAATGTGAAACTACAGAAAAATCTAATCTTTTTTTCCTATTTAGCTTCTTAGCATTTTACCCCATGCAGCTTAAGAATTCAGAAAATGTCTTGAGAGAATGCCCTCTAAATTTCAGGGTTATGTCTGGATCATGATCCCTCAAGTCCTGGCAATCCCAAACTCCAACTTTTGTCTCCATAGCTCTATGAGATTCCTGAAAGTTTTGCTGACTTCTTTAATTCTTGAATGTGGCCCTCTACCCAGAACCTTGGTTTCTTGTCCTACAGCAAATATTGACAAATTCCCACTAGGACAAAAAAACATCTCACAGACATAGATTCACCACTCTGCAATTATCTTCTCTCCTAGATCTACACCCCAAGAGCCCAATCTGCCTGGGCAGCTCTCTGATATGCAGCAACATTTTCTTCAGATGTTCTCAGCATAGATATTAGTCTCTCACAAGCTAGTCTAACTTAGCTGGAAGCAAACGTCCCACCTTCATTGTATTTTAAGCCTTGAATAAAATTTCTCGATGTACCTTGTCGTAATTTGTCTACTAATTTGGAACAGATACAAATTCTGTACATGGACTATAAACAACACACACACATTTATATTATAGTTCAGATTTGCATAACATTGTCACGACTGTCAGTATATGACTAATAAGTAAAAAAATACGATTATATATCAATATAAGCCTGAAATCTTTCGAAAATCATTGCTTCCTTGAACATAAAGTATTAGAGTACATGTTTAGTATCTTTTAGATCTCTGTCTGTGTATCCAAGTAGAAATATGTAAAAACACCAATGGGCTGGTGGATTTTGCTATTCATGTTAAACTCTTTAGTTACAGCCTACCACTTTCAAAACAATTCCTAGGAAGACTTATGAGTATTTAATGAAGTAGGAAATCTTTAAAAGCAGTGTTTTAATAAACTGTCAGCAGTGAAACCAGTTTAGTAGCTCTCCCAAGTAGTAAAGGTAAATATAGTTCCAGAAAAATCAACTCAATTATACAAATATATATATATATATATGCATGCTGGATCATGACATAAACTATTTCTGTAATTTGTGGTCAAAAAAATTTGAAAATCACTACTCTACAAAACCATCAATGAGGACTTGATTTCTTTCACAAGGCAGAAAAGATCAACAGATCTGTTATTTATTATTAATAGGTGATAATTTCTTACCTTTTTAGAGCACTTGGCTGTGGTTTTCAGACAGCATTTCTTATGGCAAGCATATTTGCATACTGAAAAACATGGTAAGAATACAGCACTTTAGGAAGTCTGTACATGAAAGACAAGAACTTAGAAAGTTTACAACTTTATTTTGGACATAAATTTTTTTAAACATCTGATACTACTCTAATATATACATACTTGGTAGGGCATTAGAATAAAAAAGGACTTAACCCATTTTATTTAGAAAAATGAAGTTGAAAAACATGCCTAAAATTTCTAACTACTGTCTATGAAAAAAATTTGAATCTTTCAAGACTGCCTGCTCCTCCCCCTGCTCCCACTATATTCCTACAGAATACTTTCTTTCGGGCTTGACTTACAAATTAGTCTTTATGCTCCCCTAATGTGCCTGTTCTACAATCTGTTAATGTGCAAGAAATACCTATTAAGAATCATTCCAATGGGTAAGAAAGGCATTACTGCCAAAGACCCTTACTGAAATGAAAACAAGGTACACATTAAAATAGAAGAGCTCTAAGAAACCAGAACATAAACAATATCAGTTGTGACTGGGAAGACAAAATAAAGAAAATGTTCAGAAGAAAAATTATTCCTTGGAGCAGCAGAGAACATAGTGGCTAGGCAGTTGATAAGTGGGAAGAAGCAGTGAGAGGAGAATACTGAAATATATTTGAACTAAGTCATTTTGCTATACCAGCTCTAGCTCCTGGATATCAACACCTTAATATCCTTCTTGAGCTTCTAAAGTATAACTCGGGTTTTCAAGGCTGAGAGGAAGGGCCTTATCATTCTGCTGATGAAATCACCAGTATAATCACAAAGAAAGTTAGTTAATTTTATTACAAAATCAAACTAAGTCCACCCAAGTCATAAAAAAACAGATTTTTTACATCTTCAGTTTCAAAACACAGAGAAAGTTATGCCAAACCTACAAGATTCAAACTAACATTGAACAGTCAAGTTAATGGCAAACTACTTCCTATTTTGCTCTCACTATAATTTGTTAGACTACTGGTAATAAAACAAAAAAAGAAACCATTGTTGAATGATAGAACAAGTAAACATATCTAGCAATAGTGGTGATTTCACTATGGCAAACATGACATTCATTCTTGTCCTACTGGGCAAACCCTTCCTAATACTTCATTCATTCAATTTTGTCCCACTAGTAAGGAAAACCTCACAGAATTACTGAAAGCACCAGAGTAGATATATGGCATAGTAGTAGCTAAAGGTCCTCTGTAAGCCGGAACCAAGGTGACCTAAAAAGAAAGTCTCAACTCACATTCTAGGACTTATACATTCTAATGAAAAGATTACAATAGAAAAAAGTATCCTTTTGGTTATAATTTAATAATTTTTTCATTAATTCATCCACTCATCTACCCAGTAAAAACTTATCAAAACTTGTAATACCAAAACTGTTCTAGGCACTGGTGATAGAGAAGAAACAATTATTAAGCTTCCTGACCTTATACAGTATACATTCTAGTGGACAGACTGACAACAAGAAAACAAACAAATACTTAATATAGTTTTGGGTAGTGATAGTGCTATGAAGACTATTAAGTTGAGTAAGGGGACAGATAATTAGGGGACCAAATGGCATTTTAGATAGGAGAGTAAGGAAAGAGTTCTCTAAGAGGTAACATTTGAGAGGAGACATAGATTAACTAAATAGTCAAACTAATATCTGGGAGAAGGGCATTTCTGATAAAGTAAGCTGCAAGTACAATGATCAAATACCACCAAAATACCTGATTTGGCTACAGAGAGTAGGTGAAAGAGTATAGTGAGAGGAGGCTAAAGAATCAGGAAGTGTAATTACTCCTTTATGTTAAAAAAGATATGAGCAAACTTAGAAAATAAAAATGTCAAGTGGTTAAAACAACTCCTCAAAGATCACTCATACTGGCTAATAAATACAGTAACAGTATGGTGAGAGGTGTCTTCCCTCAGAGCGGCTCTTCCTCTGGCTTCAGAGAAGCTCAAACTGAGTCCTCAGGTTATCAGATGTGGACAAAAAGCTTCTAGAAGAGTTGCTTAGCTGTAAGTCCAGAGAGCAGAGACAGGATCTTTCTTAGTCACAAGCTTAAAGTGGGACCCTTGGGAACCTGGGGAAGTCAGTTCAGGTCTCTGGACTTTATTTTGTGCTTCAAAAAATGGATATATGGGGATCTCATAAACTACATGGGTTCGGCCAGATGTGACAAGATTTTATAGCAAAAAGAAGGCTCATGGTGAAATGTCTGCAATTGCTACAATGAATTCCTTAAAAAAAAAAAAAAATCACTCATACTTACATTTGCAAACAGAGGCTCGGTCCATTATCCATATCAAAGAAGAACAGTATTCACAGTATGTAGGGATGCTATACTGGGTAGCCTTAAAGATGTGACCATTGTGCTCTTCCACCTGAATGAAAAAAATATAGCTATTTATGTTAAAGCCAACAGAGTAAATGCTGTCCTTAACGTGGCCAGCCAATGGGAAATCCTTCAATCCCTTGTTAAGTCTTCAATGGACACTTATTCCAGGAATAAACATGATCTTCTAAGAAAATAAATAAAAGCAATACATTTGGTCCCTGCTTTCAAAAAGCTAAAATCTTATAGAGAAACAAGAATAACTTGTATAAACATATATAAACATAAGAGAGCTGCCTTATGCGACTCTGAATCAGCATGTAAAATAATAAAAGAAATGGTCCTCAAATAACTTCAGTTTATATGAGTCATATCTATTGATATATACTGTATTAGAAATAAAAACTGAAATTAACTTTAAGTATTTATCCAATTCATTTCACATTAACAGTAAATACATTACATGATAACATAAGTAACATTTTCATGAAAAAAAAAATACTATATGTTTAAATCAAAGTGGTGATGGTATTTATTTATACGTCTGTCATCTCTTTTATGTCTGGCTCAATGAAAGAAACCTAGATTCTCATAGCCACTTCTGCATTCAATCTGTTGGCACTATGTAATTTAGTTTGAAATACATGAAGAAAATCTACCTTCAGACAGACATAAAATTGGAAAATGGACAATTTAATAATAATTTAATAATATAACATCAAAACTCTACAAATGCTAACTTAAAGGTTAACTGAAATATAGAATATAGCATCTAAAACCACACCAAGGAACTCTTCATAAAATAAATTTAAATATAAAATATACTTAAATATAAAATATAAAATCCATTGTTCTCCCAGCTTTATTAAAATGTACAACTTTTTTTTTTAAGATTTTATTTATTTGCCAGAAAGAGAGAGAGAGTACACATAAGCAGGCAGAGTGGCAGGCAGAGGCAGCAAGAGAAGCAGGTTCCCTGCTGAGCGAGGAGCCTGATGTGGGACTCAATTCCAGGACCCTGGGATCATGACCTGAGCCTAAGGCAGTGGCTTAACCAACTGAGCCACCCAGGTGTCCCAAAATGTACAACTTTTACGTTGAAGTAGCATTAAAAAAAATAAAGATAAGCTACAGACTCAGAGAATATCTTTGCAAATTGTTTCTCTGATAAAGGACTTCTACCTAGAATATATGAAGAAGTGTTGTAACTCATTAACAAGAAGATAAACTGATTTAAAAATGGACAAAACAGAGGCACCCGGGTGGCTCAGTAGGTTAAGTGGCTGCCTTCACCTCAGGTCACGTTCTCAGGGTCCTAGAACTGAATCCCGCATTGACCTCCTTCTGCCCCTCCTCCTGCTTGTGGTCTCTCTTTTTCTCTCTCTCAAATAAACAAAAAAAATCTTTTTAAAAAAAATGGACAAAATAGCTAACAGTTTATCAAAGAAGTATAAATGGCCAACAAACACACAAAAAGATGCTCAAAATTATTAGTCATCTGGGAAATGCATGATGAGATAATACTGCATGCCCACTAGAATGCGTATAACGAAAAAGACAACAACATCTATTGGTAAGGATGTGGAGAGACTAGACCCCTCAGATACTGCAGATGGAATTGTAAAATGGTGCACTCACTTGGAAAACAAGTAGTTTCCGAAAATGTTAAACACAGAGTTATCATATGACCAGGAGTTCCACTCTTAGGTTTATAACTAAGAGAACTAACTGAAAACATACGTCTATACAAAATCCTGTACAAGAATGTTTACAGCAGCATTATTCATAATTGTCAAAAAATAGAAATGACCCTAATACCCCAACAAATGATAAAAGGATAAATAAAATGTGGTATATCCATACAATGGGATAGTATTTAAGTGCTTAAAAAAAAACCAAACTACTGATACACATACAACATGGATGAGCCTCAAAAAAATTATACTAAGAAGCCATTAGCAAAAGACTACACATTCTATGATTCCATTGATAGGATTCCATTCTACATTAAAACTATAGAAACAGGTAGTACGTTAGCATTTGCCTAGAACTGGGTGTGGATGGTAAAGGGCAATGACTGCAAACTGGTACCAAAAAATCCTTTTATAATGATGCAAATGTTCTAAAATTGGACTTGGATGATGGTTATGACTGTATAAACTTACTAAAAATCATTGAATTGTATACTCAGAAGGGATAAAATTACATTGGAAGTACATTTACCTTGAACTGTTTAAAGAAACCTTTTCGTCTATCCTGTACTTCAAATGGACATTTTACCTATACATGATTTTATGGTGTTAGGCATTGATGATCTGGAAAATACTGGTTCACTGAGTTATGGAACTGTTTTAAATGTTGACACACTTCATTATATGCTATCAAAAGGTCACATTCTTCCATATTACCACCAATCTCAGAAAATTCTTTACTGGGGGGCGCCTGGGTGGCTCAGTTGGTTAAGTGGCTGCCTTCGGCTCAGGTCATGATCCCAGGGTCCTGGGATCAAGCCCTCCATCGGGCTCTCTGCTCAGCAGGGAACCCGCTTCCCTCTCTCTCTGCCTGCCTCTCTGCCTATTTGTGATCTCTGTCTGTTAAATAAATAAATAAAATCTTAAAAAAAAAAAAAAAAAAGAAAATTCTTTACTGGAAAATTGTCACATTCACAAGTTTTTACAATTCTGATTTTTGCTTGCAAGCTTAAACTTTACAACTGTTAACAAATACTGTTAGGTATTTTCCTTGAAGTGACAAGTCACTTAATTCACTTTCAAAAACATTTGCCAAGTACCAAAGTCTGAATGAGTATAGCCTTTTCAATAAAGTAAAAGTGATATTCTATGAAAAAAGTTGCTAGACACACAGATTGATATAAAAATTTGTACACAAATGTTCATAGCAGCATTACTCCAAATAGTCAAAAAGTGGAAAAACCCCAAAGTCCATAAACTGACCAATGGGTAAATAAAATGTAGTATATCTATACAGTGGAATAATACTTGGTTATAAAAAGGAATGAAATACTACACATGCTACAACATGAGTGAATCCTGAGAACAGTATGCTAAGTGAAAGAAGACACATACAAAAGGCCAATATTTTATGATTTTTTTTTTTTAACCAATATGAAATGTCCATAAAAGGCAAATCCATTGAGACAGAAAGTGATTGGTGGTTTTCAGGACTGGAGGAAAAGAGAATGGGAATGACGCTTAATGAATGCGGACTTTCTTCTGCAGGTGATGAACATGTTCTAGAATTATATAGTGGTGGTAGTTGCCCAATATAGTCAATATACTAAAACCCACCCAAGTATATACTTAAAATGGTTGAAATGAATTTTAGGTCATATGAATTTTGTCACAGTTTTTAAAAATTTTAGAAGTTTTAAACTAGATCAGTTTACAGTTCCATTGTACAAGTGTGTTTTTGTTTTGTTTTGTTTTTCTTTAGAAAACCATTATATACAGCTATACCATACTTCCCATTCCCATATGGAGAAACTACCTTGATTTGTTCAACTCAGTGAAAAAGGAAAATAACGTCATTATTACTATGAAAATAGCCTTAATTTTGCAAAATTCTTGAAAGTATCCCAGAAACTCCTGCATATCACCATGAAAACTACTAGATTGAATAGTTTATATAAGTACAGAAAAAGCAGAGAAGGATATATACCATACTGTCAACTACAATAATTATCTCTGCTGAGATAAAACACCCAGTAATAAATACAGCATGAAATAATGTATGAAAAGCTTTAAAGCCCTTTTAATGAACACAAAAATAGACTTGCACAGATGAAAAGATATAAGATCATAAAGAAGTCAGTTCTCTTTATGTTAATTTATAAATACAAGGTAATCTAAGTACTACTAGATTTCTTCTCATCAAACCAGACAACTGAATTCAAAGTTAATATGGAAAAACAAGTAAAAAATAGCTAGAAAAGATCTGAAAAAGAATATTAGTGGAGGCTGGGGGAGGGCACTTGAGTGGCTTGGTTGGTTAAGCATCTGCCTTTGGCTCAGGTCATGGTCTTTGGTTCCTGGGATGGAGCCCTGTATGGGACTCCCTGCTCAGGGGAGAGTCTGCTTCTCCCTCTCCTGCTACCCCTCCCCCTCAGCTTGAGAGAGAGAAAATCTTTTAAAAAAGGGGACTGGGGAGAAAACTAGGGAGGACCTAGCCAGATAATAAAAGCTCAATAGTTAAAGTAGTGTGGAACTGGCTTATGAATACTCAGATCAATCAACGGAATACGATAAAAAGATCCAAGATAAAGGAGACATCAGAATGCAAAAAGGGTGACATCTCAAAGTAGATAGGTACAGCTGGACTTCTAAATAAATGCTGATGGGTTTGGAAAGAGGTAAAATTAGATTTGTAATTCATATAATACATTAGGATTAACTCCATAAAGATCAGAATTTAAATGTAAAAAATGTGACCATTAAAGTATTGGAAGAAAAAACTGAAAATGTCTTTATAACTTTTAGATGAGGGGAAAGAAAATTTTGAGTCTATGACTCAAAATTCAGAGGCTATGAAAGAAAAGATCGGTTAAGTCTAAATTCATAAAAGAAAAAATTTTCTATAGAGCAAATAATATTAAAAGGTAGCATCGGGAGACAACTGACAAACTGGGGAAACATTTACAACTCCTATCACAGACAAAAAGTAATCTCCCTCATACATGAAGTCCCCAGAAATTAAGACCAAACCCCAACGAAAAACAAGCGATGCACATAAATATATATGTTACAAGAAAAGAAAATGTAAATGGTACTGAAGCATAAGAAGATACTCAAACTCAAGGATAGTAAGAGAAAAGCAAACTACAACTACAGGGAGATACTGTAAGGGCCTATTTAGCCAGAGCGGCCCCACCTCAGTTGAACAGCCATTTTGTTGTTCATGCAGTAAAACTTAAATTGATCCTGCCCTCCCCCCCACCCACCCAAGGGGAACTTACTTAAAAGCAAGTCCCGGAAACCAGTCCCAGGTAACAAAGCCCAAATACAAGGGTGGGTCAGGTCAGGCAGAGATGAC